GTAAGAAACCCCTGAAGAAAGCGCGTACATCTGCGCTTTCTTTTGAAACATTAAGGGGCTGTTTGCGACTCGCGAACTCACGCACGTTTCAAGTATCGTTGGCAGCAGTTCGTGTTTTAGTTCCTGTAAGAACGTGCTGCGGCAGTGCCCGCCATTGTAATGGTTTCCACCTCGTTATATGAGAGTTAAAGGGCCCTGGCCCCCTTCACCTCTCCTCTCTGTGGGAGTTCCGACCCACCGCACGAAAATCACAATGACATCGCTACACGTTGCGATTCAAAGAGCATGGGTTGTGTATTCCAAGAACAGTTTGAAAGATATTACTCTGAGTATTCCACTCGTGAATTTAAAACCAATCGTGTTTAACTATACATACAAAATGCCCGAATTAGGGAGTTGTATCTCAAAGAGTTTATCGCTTTTACTCCCCGATTTCTCTTACCGCTTCTACCTACTGGCCAATCATAAATTGCGACTCATCCATCTTGGTAGGCGTTATACATCGATCTCTATGTTGATGCCCAATAAACAGCGGCTATAAGACGGTACTATAACATAACCTCTGACTTTATATTCAATATTTGGCGCATTTTGGAAATCTGTTGGACATAATTTCACTCGTAGAATAGTCCCATTAAATACCACTCGCGCTTTGGAAATTCCCAGATAAATGCTCTCCTCGCTTCGCGTGTCGGGAATTTATCGACAATTTCTAAAGCACTAGTGGTATTACCTATGATAATCTTGTAAACAAAACAAAGCATCAAAGGTGGTAGTGTTTGTTGACTAGTAAGGTCAATCCTCTCACAAGCATATTTCGGTAATTAATAATGCTTAATCGAAAGCATCACAAAATATCAGTGTTGCATTTTTGACTTGACGATTGAAAGAACAGATGAATCAAGTCACGTATGACGGACAGTGGCGGCGCTCGTCTCGGTTTCGATTGCAATCTTAAGTGTCCGCGGCTGCTCTGTCAGTAGATAATGACAGAGTAGCCAGATGCTTCGTACAAACATCCGCCGTTGGATGGATGTAAAACAGCCCAATTCCGCCCAATAAGAAAAAAAATCAACATTTCAATATGAATTTTGTAGGCATTTTGAATTTGCATTAAAATAATTCTATTAGAAGCTTTTTTTTAGATAGTGACCCTATGAAATGCTTGATTAGTTTTATTAACAACAATTTTGTAATTCATTTTTATTTTTTATTTAAATTATATTTTTGTAAAAATACTGTCAGTTATAGAATAATTTCCCCCCTTTCACATTTTCACTCCTTTCTTCTTTTAAATATCCACGCATAAAAATATTATCATAGAAGTGGTTACATATGTATGTTTCATGCTTATTCCCTGTGGCTTAACGGAATATACTGGCAGTGAAACTGAACTAAAAAAAATCAACTAATTTTAAATGGTGTGTTCTAAAATTAACTCCAAGAACTGCCAATGTTATATAATATATACTCATGTTATGCACGACAAATGAATATGACTTTTAGAACACACCTTATACTAGAGATCTAAAAACTAACATTACTCCCTTTTCAAAGTAAATTTCATCAAATTAAAAAATAATTTTAAAAAAATCTCGTATAATGTGAAAAAAGTCAAACTCACAGTAAACGTTGTGGTTGTTTTTCGAAAATTTCGTCGTAATCTGAGAATCCGCCCAAAATCGCACATGTTTTGACGCATTTCTGCCCATTGGGCGGTATTTCGCGAAATCAATTTTTGTTCCGCGAGAGTGAGCCGTTTTCCATCCCAAAAAGCGGAATTCCGCTCAATCTGGCAAGCCTGCTTAACATGGGGCTTGATCCCGCCCCCTACAACCCCTTCTGTTCCGCGTACTGGACGGTGCTCCCAGCCATTCCGCTAGCGATGCCGGAAGGGGGAGGGTACAGAAACAGACTTTAAAACAGGCGTGTCAAGGTCGCGGGCAAGGTAGCTAGCTTTCTAGAATTTGCGGCCACTGCGCCCAGAGCAACTGGCGCATGGTTTAAAAGTAAGATGGTACCAGGGTTGCGGTCTATCACTTGTTTTTGACTTAACAGAGAATTCTGTTAACAATTAATGACATAAAGGCGACATTCATTCCCGTTTCCTCTTCTAAAGAGAAGAAATAATCAATTAAAAGGAAATACAGCGGTCATATTTAGTATTATCTATTGAACATTTTGAATCTAAAATATCTTAGCTTCGTAATCGCGTTTCCTTAAGAGAATGATAATTGTATTAACTTCTTACATTCGGGTCAGGAGGGATAACAGAAACATATTCTTGACTGTTAAAAGATTTCTCTACTCGTAAGAGAGACGTGTTAATTTATTACAACAAATAACAGAATAATTTAATAAAACGTATCCCAAACGAAAACAAGCAAAGAATTTGTCATTCAAACGTCATTGTTTTTGTAATTCTTTCAAACTGCAAATATTGCACGCAATATTACTAAAATTACGCGATAATACTAAAATTTTCAAAAAAATTTACATGTTCTTACTGATAGTGCAGAACTGATAGTGCAGAACAAAATTTATTTGAAGAAAAAACCTGTGCCTTCAAATTTTGAAAATGCCGCAGGGGCTTCATGTAAAGTACTCTCCAATTTTAAGAAATGTTTTTCAAAATCTGAAAGCATCTACTCGAGCCATATCGTCAAGAATTTCTTCATTCGGAAAAAATCCTACGCGCATTATTCAGTATATACGTATGCATACGGGAATGTAAAATGCTCTTGTTTAACGTAGAATACAAAATAATACCCGGAACCTATTTAAATTTTCGAAAAATTCTACATCACCTTATTTCAAAATTTGACTTTAAAGAAAAAATTTCATGAATAAAAAAATGTCTTCAATACTTTAGTTTTGGGAAGATGCAAAAAAAAAAGTATACTTTTGCAGTTTTAGAAAAATCAGGGATTTTAAGGAATTAACAGACCTGCACCGTTCTAAATTTAGCAACTGGAGTTATTGACTTTTCAGTTCCGGGGCCCTGTAGTAAGGGGTTTTCTGCCGATAATTCGCCCCTTTTTGCGCAGCATTAACATAACTTTCTCTTTACTCAGTAGAGGGGAAGTGAAAATTTGGACCCATTTTTGCAGTATTTCAGAAATGTCTCACAGGCTTCATATGAAATAACCCTCAAAATTCAAATGTCGATTTCAAATTTAAGCGACTCCGACATCAACCACATCGATTAGGAAATATCAGTTTTAGAGAAAATTGGCTGAACGGTTTATGCACTAGCGTTGACCACGGACAGGCAGACGTCGTGCCGTCAATCAATTTTTCGGTATGAAGGACCCACAAACATGGATTCTGACTACCCAACATATTACAGTAAGTAATTTACTATATATTGGGACAAGTTTTATCCACATTTTCGTTACTAGAGCCCGACAATAACAGTTTTTCTGTTAGAAATCCGCTGTTTCCCCCATAGCATTACAATACTTTATACTGCGTAAGCAGAGGCGAGAAAGAAAAAAATAGCCACTGGATTTATCCACGTTTTCGTTACCAGGGCCCTTTAATAAGAGTTTCTCTGCCGAAAATTTGTCGTTATTTCGTGCAGCATTACATAACTTTCTCTACTCCGTAGCGAGAAAGTAAAAAATATATACAATATACATTCTCAACTACATCAAACGTCCGGCAGAGCTGTGTCGTGTAGACGTCGCGCAAAAGTGACGAGGGAACTGCCTTTCTTGCAACCCCTAGCGTCCCATTATTGAGACACATAAACAGTTGGAAACTACTAAATCAACTATGCCCATACTTCACTGCAAGCAGCAGGGACTGACAGTCCCAGGGAGGGAAGTGGAATAGAAGCAGAACACGACGGAAGATTGTCGCATGTTACAAACGCATCAGTAGTGGACTACATTGGACATATAATTGAATGAAATAGTATTTCGCTTATTTTATTTTAATAACAAAGAGAAATTAAATAATTCTGGCAAGGACTGGTGGGCTGCAGCCCTACAGCCTACGCCCATCACCCGCCACTGGATACATAGCTAGGACGAATTCAGCCGCTGATTGGAGGAGAATTCTAGTGGCTGGCTGCTCTGTTCGGCAGTTTCTCCTATCATCACCAGGCGAATGCCGGAGTAGTACCCAAACAAGCGGGCCGCGCGCGACCATTCCTCCCTCTTCCTTGTCATTTCCTCACCTCTTACACACACACACTCACAGACACTCACGTGCGCCAGTTACCACACTTGTCGGGAGTTTATCATTACTAGTCCAGTCGGGAGCGTACAGCTTGTCCCGGCTGAGGCTGTGCCCCGCTGTGGCATATCTGCCCGACGTAGGTCAGCGCCGGGTCTCACCATCCAGCGGCGGAAGATCACCGCCACTTCACGCGATAAAAACATGCAATTCACTTACGGGACTAATGACCTTAGCAGTTGACGCGTCCGAAATCGCTAATCAATCAACTCATTCAGCGTAAGTCCGAAGAGCGCTTCGAATGTGTTCCTGTTTCAACTTCCCATGAAGACTTAAGCACCCAATTTTGATGAGCACCTAATTGGTAAATTCGCCGAATTCGGACTTTAGACTTAACAACGTATAATTAATTAACAAATATATCAAAATTTTGAATTACTTATGAAGTTTTTCATTCTCATATTTTTAAATTTGGCGCAGTGTTAATTAAACAATTTTTTGTAGGAAAGTATGGTAGTATTAGTAGAATGACGATACAATTGTTTGGAAATTTTATTTTCAAATTTTTCATAAATTGAAATATACAAATTGAAAATAACATATACAATAAACTACACTTAGTAATTATTGTCATAAATATGTTTTGGTTAAAAAATATTCCTTGTAATTTTTAAAAGCTTCCCCATTCCACCTAAGGTATTTTCTGTATCCACCTTCATAGACACAGAATTCATTTGAATCTATTTTTGCTGATGAAAAGAAAAGGCTTTATCTCAAGAACGTACTACTTGACTGGACGACGCGACACTTTTCGTGGTACTTAGAACAGCCGCTAGAGGGCTGAAAGTGGAGATATTTCATAAAACATGCTCGTTGCTCTCCCTTGCTAGTCAGCTGATGACTAGAAGTTTATATAGGTTAGTCATTAGTATTGACATCTGTCCTATTTGCCCATGTGCAATTGTCAACATGGTTTGAAAGACGAGATAATGATAAACTGCTGATTGAAGTGAAACATGTTAGCGTTTCGTTTTGCCAGAGATACTTGTCTTATTTGCTGACAAGTTGACGTGACTGCTATTATGCCCAACCAGCGGATTGGCAATATTATTTCTTGTATGACAATGTCATAACATGAAAGATTCACATCGAGTTTTAACCGAACTTGGTGTGTTATAAAAGTGAAAAATACATAGATCAGAGGTATTAAATTTTGCATAATGGCAAGTGCGAAACCACAGATACTTTTCTGCTGTGTTACATATGGCGAAGTGATTCTTGTTACTCATCAAATTGAGCCGGAAAATTTTACTTGTTATATATCGACGATATTACCACTAATTCCTAAAGTTCCAGGAGAAAGAAAGCTTACATTTCCAGTTCAGAGGTGAGTTTCAATTTATCTTTGTATTGGTTCTTTTCAGTGGTAGATCTGTCATGATATTAAATTTAAAAAAAAACAAACGTTTTGTTGATATTTCTTTCCTTTCTCTAGATTTCAGGTTCATGTTTTTGCCGAAGAAAGTGGACTGACCTATTGCTGTATTACTGATCCAACTGATAAGCATTTGTTCCCCTTCACGTTTTTGGATACTATCAAGACAAAATTTACAGAAATATCAAGTTTAACTGAGAAAGCACCCACTGCAAATGAAAATGAATTTCAAAATGATTTTGCACCTGTTTTAGCTGCAGTAGTGGTATGTTTAATATAGCACTAATTATGGAAATGGATATTGAATTTTTCACATAAATATCTAATTATTATCAAATGTCAGTTTAATTTCAATGTAGGACAAGGAGACAAGTTAACAGTTTTGGAAACTCAAATTCATGATGTGAAAAAAATTATATTAAATAATGTTGAAAAGTTAATTGAAAGAGGAGAGAAGCTAGAAGATTTGGTCACAAAATCTGAAAATCTTACAGTAAAGGTAGTGTATACATATTTTTCTTTGTGTCTTTCTTCAAAATTTGTTATGATTTTAATGATGGAAATGCATTCTTTGATTTGGTTATAGAGTGGAGATTTCAGACAAGCCAGTAGATCAGTTGCCAGGCAACAGAGGTGTAAGAATTGGAAGATGTGGCTTATAATTGGATCATTGTTAGGTACTGTTCTTATTGTAGCTTTGTTAATATCTACAGGAACAATACGACTGAATTAATTAAATTTGAGAATGAGGGCACAATATGATTAATAATGTTATAAATCTTAGGATAAGTAAACATTGGAGACTAGAGCATCAATAAGAATTCATGAAAAATACGTTGTTTAAACATTTAATTACTGAAAAAATGCCATATTATGGAAATTTTCTTGTGGAAATTTAAAATGTGTAACTAGTGAATTAAAAACATTCTGTTATGCTTGTCAGGAAATGTACAACATTTTTTAGTATTTTGTGCTTTTTTAATTTCATTAGAGCTAAAGAAAGGTGTAAATTTGCTCATCAGTAAAGATGCTTTAAATGTTAGATATCAATTATTTCTTAGTGATGTTTTAAAATTTGTATTGAGTATATACTGGAAGTCCTACCACCTGTCGGCCACCCCCATAACTACTAAATGGTTTACGGTATCAAAGTGCAGAATTATTGAGTGAAAACTGCACTTCAATCTCGTGTACCATTTAGAAGTTAAGGGGGTGGGCCGTAGTTGGTGCGACACTATGCATTTAAGTATTGGGTGTTTCTAAATTAATTTTTATTTGCTCAAAACTACATGCAGAAAATATTTCAATTGTGATGAAAATGTTGCAAATAATATTCAATAATTCACAGTTAAAAATTTTTTTTTAGGTACGTGAACTATGTCATTTTACAGTTTGCTGAAATAGTTTCATCTTATTTTTCATATCATGTATATTACATTTATAACTGAATATTCACATAATAATAAATATCCTTAGTGCAAAAGTAATTTTTACCAAGATGTTTACCGAGTGTTTTCACTCGTGGTTACATGCGAGGACCACCAAACATTTCCTATAGCCAGTATTAAAACTCTGAGGAATGCCTCTCTTGAAGAACTGCATTTATTGTTTTGTTCAAAAATGAACAGTGCAATACAAGGACTTACATAAAATATTTACTGCAGACAATGAAGAATCACCTTTCTTAACTTTCAAGAGATGATCTTCTCCATTGTATAGGTCAGTTCCTACATTTCTTCCATAAGTTTTGACTCAATAATACTGAGTATTGCCATTTTTATTTTTCAACATTCATATAGATTGGCCATATCATATTTTTGTTCATGTTATTAATGCAAAGCTTTATACTATTTTTAGTACATTTCCACAAGATAATTTTATTGATACCTCATGATTGAAAGAATGGGTTTAATAAGCGCGTTGAGTTCCATATGTTTTATTTAAATAATATATTATGTTTGTGTGTGTATTGAATTATTGAGTTTATAATTTTATGTAGACAAAAAGACTTGAGATTGTATTGCCTTCAAATGATTGCCAATGTGTTGCTTTAATTACCTTCTTTGACTGATTCTGTAATTCTGGGATGTAAAAACGTTTTAATGTTTGTACAAGTTCTTCCAATTGGAAATGTTATTACTATACTGGAAACTTCCTTGATGAATAAATTTGTCTTTCGTAGCCAGAAATAAAGTAACATCAACCATGCTGTGAATTAAGTTTAGCATTTGTAACATTGTTTTTTGGTTCAATGTTCTAGCCATTAGTACACTCAAAATTTGTGGGGTAATAATTATTGTCTTCATTCTGTTTATTAACGATTTCCTACTGCAAACTGTCCGATGTCAATTAATTACATTTAGCAAATTCTAACTTTTCATTAAATACGTAAATCTTTTACTTAAAATAATGGTAATTATAAAAATTACCTTTTTTTCTTCACTCATTCCCCACAATAGGTGCTTGATTATTCTTTGATGACAATTATTTGGCTGAACTTGCAACAAAATATTGGTCACTACAGTCTGTATTAAGACAATCATTTGCTCATATATTGAATTTTAAACACCTGGAATAGTAATAGCTTAGTTTCTTAAAAATTTAAAAGATATGAACATATGTTACCAGAACACACTGGTGCATCTTTATATACAAGTATATGTTTAAATGATGTTGTCTTAAGTATTTTATTAAGTGCTCTAATGCATTAATGGACGATCAGCGGTTTATTAAGTAACAGTTAGGTGCTGGTAACGTGAGAGGCAATATGTTATCAATTTAATTCTTTCACATTTAACTATAAATGTGATGAATTTATTGTTACATACCAAAGACCTTTTATTTATTAATTTAGGTCTTGTGGGTTAGAATATATTTTATCAACCAAAGAAATTGTTTATGGCTATGTAGAATAGAACAATGTATTTCACTGCAGATACAACTGCAAAAGTAAACAAGTAGTAAGATTAAGGAAATTGTTAGTTTAATATTTTATCATCAAGAGGCTTCCTTTAATTGTAATACACACAAAATTTCTCTGGTGCATAAGCTGGAGGGTAAAAAGGCTGTGAAGAAACATTATCGGAGAAAATATAACATTTGCTGTACAGTCATTGTTTGTTTTGGTTTGGTCATTGTTTGTGTGCCAAACATTTGAAAATCCAATATTCTAAGCCTATGCTGATAATTCTTGTTTAAGTATATGTATAATGTTGTAACTGAGATTTTATTAATTTGCTTTCCCTTGTATCTATGTGATATGCCTATTGGCATGCATGTAATCTGGATTTTCTTTCTACTTACATGTTTTTTGTTGTTGAAACATTTGATCATGTAGGATGTGTGTATGGAAAATTTAGTATATTGATGATGAAGAATGGAGATGATGGGAGATTTTTGTCAGTAATGGTTAATATTTATGAGAATGTTAAATAAATGTTCATTTTAATTGTCATAATTAACCATGGCATTATGGTGCCAGGATATCAAACATAGATTATAATCAGGAAAATTGACCAAAGCCATCTGATTTAATTTGCAGGGCATTTTGTAACTGTGTTATTTTTGATTGTCTTAGTGATCTGGAATCATTGTAGTACAAGATATTGATTTGATTCTTGCCAACATTATACGTTCCTTCTTCATTTCCCCTTTTCTTTGTGGATTGTATACTTGAATACTGAACATATTTCCGTGAAAGTTCACTTCACAATAGAAATATTACACCAACTCTCTTTTCTGTTTATGAGTAGATAAACATGCTCAATTTTATCAGATATTTGTTTAGCATCTTCAAAGAAAATATATTTCTGTAACGGTCATAACCCTAAGCAATTCCGATATCCAGGCAGGGTGGGGGGGGGGGGGGGGGGGGGGGTCAATACTCAGAATAACTTGCAGTATAATTGAAGAAATATTATATATATTTTACAACCAATAATGCACCTATTTATCAACATCTAACCATATTTTTCTGCCTGTTTGTGTTAAAATATTTACAGTTTTGGGGGTGCAGCAAAGCTATATACATTTTGAAAATTGTCTGTACTTGGAATCCTTTCCATAGGGACATAAGTAGAACTGTGTTTTAAAGAACTACTACTTAAAGTTCAACATTTGCAACATCCTCTCAATTGCACTATAATTCACATCAATAGATATTAAAATTATGTTGCAACTTATTTATGTACAGTAAGAGCTTAGCTGTTAGAGAATGATAGTTTCCACAAAGTGATGCATGGTGATAGTTTCAAACTTTATTTCTAAACATTTGATAACTGATGGAAGACAAAATTAACAATAAGAGTTAAGAAAGGCTCTAATAATAAAAGTCCTTTCTGGGAAAGATATACTGAGAAAACTGCATTGTCTATCATTGACTCCCCATCCTCCCACCTTTTGGTATGTAACTATTAGAAAGTTTATTGGGAATATTATATTCATTTCTTTGTTGGTTGAAACACCTACATTTTTTCAGAATCTAACTTTTGTGTATCTGAAGACTGCTATATGTGTGTGCCTTTTTAGACAATGTATGTAGAATTGTTATCCTTTTTGCTTTGATCTTCTGTGACTAGTTTTCTTATTTATGAATGTTGAAAATTGAGATTGTAATTAAGAAAAGTGGTGGATTTTCACAGTAATGTTGTCTAAAAATCTCTTAATTTTTGTTTCATGCAATTAAAATTTCCTGTCTAATTAGTATCATTGTTTTAAAGCCATGAACATTGTACAGTCGACTCCGCTTATAGTGAACTTGTGTCACTGGGCCCGTTTCGCGTACGCTACAAATAAGCGTAAGAGGATTTGGTTATAGTGAACCTGAATTTCGGTTATAGGAAATACAACGCCCTGGATATTAATTCCCTCCTGGAAAATATATATAATAATAATAAAATATATCGCCCCATTGCGACAAATTCAAACACTAGGCAGCTTGAAAAAAATATCGGCCAAAGGCCCATAATCGAAAACTTCTCCCCTGAGGTCAAATTTCGTGATTTTCCGCGGGTCAAAGCGCCTGCGCCTTTGCCGCTACCGAAAGGATCTAACATGTTATTGGGCGAGGGGGGGCTTTCAACAATGCAAGAGTCATTGAAATGTGCCAAGACTGCATTACGAAACTTCGAGACAGTGGACAATGCGGGATAAAGTATGGCGAGTCCCCCAACTCTGGAGAAGGATCTATAGAAATTAGTAATGGAAAATGTACAAAGCAAACAATGGAAAATTATTGTTTTTAGAAGGACAAATAAAGATATTTAAATGTTTAGTTCCTACTGTTAATGTATTTTTGTTTACATATATTAATGAAATCAATCATTGTCGAGAAATTTTATTTAATTTTGACTTCTTTTGATATAGTGAACCAAAATGTTAGTCACCAGAAGTTCACGATAACCGGTGTCAACTGTAATTACTTTTGCATCATCAAATGTTTTCTTTCATGTCAGACCCTATTTAATGGTTTTTGAAATTAGGAATAAATTGTACATTAGCTTTTCAAAAGATGACCAGACATGTTTTGATGTCTCATTGTCAATTTTATTTTCTCATTCCACTTTTTCCTACATAACAGCTGCCATCAGTTTTTCTTTTCTTGTCAACTTCAATTTCAAGCTAATGATGAGTTGTAGAGAAGAATGATTCTTTTGCATTGAAATGTACTAAACCCCATCAAAAAACAGCCATTTGCTGCTAAATATTAAGTAGGTACCGCTAATTTGGAATTGTAAGCTATTATTGTATTTAAGTAGAATAGTAACAAAATATATAAGGTTATTCATTTCTTTCTTCAATTGACTGGCATATTTACAATTTTACTGTTTGCTTTCAGAATTAATGAACCCTTCATGAATTTTATCAAATGTTTGCCTTCGTATTTATGAGTTTGGACATTATAAATATATTTGCAATGTAATGTAAGATCAGTTCATTCTATCAAAGGTTTCATTTTCTGAATGAGGTTTACTTCATATATTTATTTGTTTGACCTACTTGTTTTTTCTAATTTCAATTTGTACTATATTTGTATCTGCTATTATGTTTTTCTATTTTATTAATAATCATTCCTATTAAAAAAATTATCATTGAAAGTTGACTAGTCATGTTTCTGTAATTTGCAATGATAATTATATCATTCATATATTTGTTATTTTTTGAAAATCATTTATGTTAAGAACAAAAACATTTATGTAAATATTAAAATGTACTACTAATTTTGTAACTTTTATTGCTGAATGTGACAAAATAAAATTTGTTTGTAATTTTTTTATTATTTGTATGTTTCACATTATTAACTCTGAAACTGCATTCATCTCCAGAATTCCAAATTTACGTCTTCTGAATTCTTCAGTGCAACATTCCTGCAACATTACCAAACTGACTTTACAAGAAAGATCTTCCTCATCTATTTCTCTATTGTATGTGTGTGTGCTTAAACGAAAACAGCTTTTTGCCATTGAATTCAGCGTATTCACATTCTACATAAATGTATTAACAATGCACGATGCTTATTTTAGACATAAATAAAATTATTTGTTTATATTAACGCAAAAAAAGCAGCAGTCATTATCCCCTTTTGTTATCAGTGCGGCGTTACAACAATGGGTTACAAGCAAGAATGACCTAATTCGTATGGGATATACATTTTGCCAATTAGCAGTGTTGATACCGCTAGCAAGAAAATGAAATTATGTAATAATTAAATATGGTTTTGTATTCATTAAAATTACTCTGTTTTTACATTTATTACTTTTTATTCCCACATCTTATTAAGTAAAGCGAAATCATCTATTTCTTTTCAATGATTTCAACAAATGATATAAGATGTCTGGAAGCTATATTGACAAAAATATCTCAAATTGTATGTTAATTTCATGAAGAATGACAGATCTAGTTCTTCAATTCAGGAATGTAAACTTTTCTCAGGAAAAACGAAGCGTTTTCAGACTCTGAACACAGTTTTAGAAAATCAAATTCTAACAGTTTGCCATTTTTACTTTCCTTACCTTCTTACCTTTTTCTTTCCTTTTACCGGCTACTCTTTAAGCAATTTAAATGCTTACTTAGGTATGAGACAAATTGCATTATTTTCGTTCAGAACCAAAAACATTACATAAACGAACAATTTCAATAATAAAACTAATATAATCACTAAGTAAGTAGTACACTGTGGCGGCACGTGTGCCACAAGTACTATTCTAACACTATTCAACAGATGAATAGCTTTTTAAATAAAATAATCTCTAAAACGTGAGATTAAATGGCTACCATGTTCCTCCTAATCAAAACACACTGTTTAATAACAAATTTCTTGTTATGGTAACCAATTTCAACGGAAACCACTTACAAATTCTTAAGCGAACAAATACAACTAGTGGTGCAACAGAATGGCACAGACTTTCCCATAGTAATTTGCTATTTCCTTTGGTCTTAGCTAGCTATTCGGACTTGTCAGCTGCCATCTATCGCCGCCCAAAGTACATTTTTGGTATTTTCTTAATATTTCCAAATAGAACAGAAATATTATTTTGAGAATATTTAATAACAGGAAACCTTCGATATGAATGGCAATTTTCTTTCTAACATTTGTAGCCGTTTTTAGGTAATTGGGGTTTAAGCGCTATTGTAAATTCGAAATTTCAACCTCTTTCTCATAGGAAATGTTTGAGTTGGTGTTAACCTATAGAATAACCATGGAAAACTCCCAAATCGGGGGTGAAACAATATTCTTGTGAACGTGCGAACGGAAGTCGCACCCTGAGATACTGCGAAATAGTTTTAGCAATTTTCTTAATCGTCCCTTGCACTATTCAACAACAAAAGTTACTCAAAAAAATTGGAGCCACTTTTTGGAAATTTTGAAAATATCCCAGGGGCTTCATGAAAGTAACTCCCAAAATTAAATTATCGATTTCAGATTCCAGGCTCCACTTAATCAGGCAGAATGATCGGAGAATATCAATTTTGGAGAAAATCGGCAGAACGATTTATACGCTAGCGTTGTGCACAGTCGGGCGGACGGACGGACAGACAGACATTTTGCCGTCAATCGATTTTTCGGTATCAGGACCCACAGAACACGCATTCTGGCGACACCACGCGATAGAGTATCCCTCCTTAATTTAGCAACTGGATTTATCAATTTTTTCCTTACCAGGGCCCAGCAATAAAAGTTTTTGTGTCGAAAATTTGCCGGCTCACGATTACAGTACTTTCTCTTCTTACGTTAATAAGTGTGAAAAAGAAAAATCCACTTTTCGGTATCAGGATTCTCACAGTATAAGAAATATCTTATACCGTGGGGCCCCCCATTGTGGAAATACATAAATAAATAAACTGGTAGTGCTACAGAATGGCATAAACTTTCCCATATTTTCTTTGATCTCGGCTAGCTGTTGGCTAGCTGTTGTGCTTAATTTTTGGTTTCCCAATAAGGAGAACGGACACATTATTTTAAGAATATTGAAGAACAGTAATATATTTTAAGAATATTGAAGTAAATACCCGTCCTATATAGCAATTTTTTAAAAAATGGGCCTTTTGTAAGAAAATGGCGCTTAAGCTCTAGAGTAAATTCGAAATTTGAAGCACTTTTTTATAGACAATTTTTTGAGTTTTTGAAAAATTTCATTACAAGTCATTTGAAACACTTTAACTCACAAATACAATAATGTTTACAAATTTCTGCAAATGTGCATATTAACAGCGTGAATGAACTTTCAAAAAACTTAATTTGTGTAATTAAAAAAAAAAACCTCCTAAACGAAGAGTGCATTTAACACTATTCTTTCGAAAAGTCTGGAGAACAAAATTAGAGCCATTTTTAAGAAAATGTCGTAAGAGCGTTTCCGAAAATACCAACTTTTGAGCTAGTTTTAACAGAAAAAGGTTGAGTTTTTGAGAAGCTTTATGTGACATTATTTAAAGCACATGTACTCGTAAACATTATAATCTCAACAAATTGCCACTAATGTAAATATTAACGAGGTGTGAGACAAATTAAAAAATTACACTTTTGTATTTTCTAAAAAAAAAAAAAACAACAAAAAAGCAACAATAGATTGCGCATTTAGCACAATCCGTACAAAAAGTTTAAAGAAAAAATTTGGAGCCGTTTTTGAGAAAATTTTGATTTTGTGCATGCAATATTGAAAAGTGCATGCAATATTGCGCGAGAACTTCTAAAATTGTCAAACAAATGTACATGACCGTAATAAAAAAAACAATTTCGTTTCAAGGTCAAAATTTTCTTCTTTAATTTTGTAGTTGTATGAAGACACTGCAAAAAATTCCAACACTTGAAATTTTAAAAAACTCTGAATTAAATCTAAAAACCGGTCGTAGGCCACATTCAACCGAGACAATTTTTAAAATGTCCGGGTCGCTTCATGTAAAGTACCCTCAAATTTGAAAACTATTTTTTCAAAATCTGAAAGTTTCGACTCGAGCCTGATGGACAGGTGTTTCTTCAATTTGGAAAAAAAGTCAATACCTGTTTTAGCCGCTTATGGTGTTCACTGACAGACAGACAGGGGGATGGACGGACTGACGGATGGACGGGAGACGGGCGGACCGACGGACGTTTCGAAAACAAACAAAAACAACTACATTATGTCGGTATCAGGGGACTCCAAAACGTATTTCCGTTGAAATCTCGAAGTGGATTTTCCGCAGCATTTCATATCTTTTCTTATACTACGTAAATTACTCCGCATATACTACGTATGTGTAACGGAAAGTAAAAATGTGCGGTGGGGTTACACAAAATGAGATCTATCGAAATCTTTTTGTATCGAAAACCCGGAGCACGCCAATATTTTCCCAATACTCAGTTTTTTGGGGCCCCGAATAAAGTACTCATATATACACGACTTTTTGACCCCGGAATATTTATGCCAATCCTTTATTAATATTAGTTGAATTATAAGTAAATTATAGCAAAGCACATTATTTTCATAATGTGATATTAATGATATGATATAATCAGAAATGTTGGAAATTTTCCACTATGATATTTACTAATTACAGTTTCTTTTTCAATAGTTGGCAAATGGATGTTAGTTGGCGAGGCTGGGCGAGGCAAGTTGTTAGCATATGAAGTCTGTTGTCAAAATAGCCGGCGTGTGGGAATATATTGTAGGACCTTACTTATTAATTACAATTAAAATACCATAAATGGAAATCCTCAATGAATAGAGACTGATTAGTGATCATTGTTTGTTTGCATACTTTGTTTTCGTAATTTAAGTAATAACAAAACCTAACTTTTGAATAATCTTCTGGAACATAAATCTTCCGCCGATTGTGTGATAACGTTGTTATTTTTCTTTCCCGTGTTCTCTGTATAGCGTCAATTGAATTAGTGTACAGGTGTCATGACAAATAAACTTAGAATGCGAGAATTGATTGGATGTGGTGTGCTCATTGTTGCAATTCTGTATGTGGTGTACAAGTATTTGACAAGAAGTAAGAGAAGCTTGGATAAGAAGCATGTTGTGGTAAGACATAATGTATAACTTAACATTTCTTTAAAATAACTTAATTAGGAAGTTGAACGGATCATTATGAAGATTATTCATATTAATAATGATTATCCTTCAATGGAAGTATTAAACTGTACCCTACAAGTACTACCCGTATTTGTAGCAAAATAGGGAACTTAGAATTCGCAATACTTACTGCTACTACTAATTAAAGCTGTGCACTTTTATTGACTTGAATAATCTACATAACAATTCGTATTATCATATAAGTTATACGGCAGTGTGACAAGTGTAATGATTTGTGTAATAATTTTATAATTTTGTTAATATGTTTTAACATTTTTCTTAATTCAAGGAAGAGAGTGTCACTTTGTTTAGCTGTCTCGGAAATTGTCTTCAAATGTGTTATTTTTTCAAAACAGACATGGTGTTTTTTGTGTCTTTATATCCTATAGAAATATATTACTATTGTTTATTATAAATGTTAACTATATTATTTGGAGTGATTTGAAGGCATGTGTCTTAAAATGCATTGCTTGTCTTGTTGTTCTTGAAAATGTCAGGCATGTATTAATTACATATTAATTACCTTAATAAAATTCACGTTAATTATGTTTATACTTTCACCAATGTTAGAGACAAGGTCAGAATTGAAATGTACTTTGTAGGCAAAACTTGAATGAGAAGAAAAAAATTATAGATCTTGATATTAAGATTGCAATAGAGCTATTAATTATCCAAAGCTATTTCAGTTCATTTTGAATGTTATCATATTTTGCATTGTGGCATTGAGATACATGTTTAAAATTTGGATTCAGTGAAAATAAAAAAAAATGTCAATAAATGAAATTTTTCAGATCACTGGAGGTTCAAGTGGCATTGGCAAGGCAGTTGCCATTGAAGTTGCTCGAATGGGTGCAAATGTCACTCTTATAGCAAGAAATGAAGAAAAGCTTCATAGTGCTAAACTTGAAGTGATGCGGAATTGTATACATCCAGAACAGCAAAAAGTGCAGTACTTTTCTGGTAAGAATGGAATGAAAAGATACTAAGATAATGTAATACTATTTAGTTTTAAGATTTGATTACCCAATAAATACATAGACTCAAAAGGAGAGACTAGAAATTTGAAGAAGTCTCATTCTGATAGGCAACTGTTGCTATCTGCTCCTGGTCCATTTTACACAAAATATGTAACCATGAACAGGATATGCATATTCAGAGATGCACATTTAGCTCAGAGATATCTTCTTCTATTGTAAAGGATGTGTTTGCTGTTCTTGTTTGTGTGATATAATTTTTAATTCCAGCTACATGTATAAACTTGAGAGTAAATAACAAGAAATGATAAAAATTAATATATATGATTTTAATTTTAAAATCTCTCATTGGAGGTCTTCAATGGTGCTATCTCTAGAATAATTGGATGATCTTGTATTGTGTTTTGCTATTTTTTATTTTAGCTTGCTACTGTTGTTAGGTCTGCATGAACTCTATTCCAGCTATTTTCTTTTATGTTCATGGAACTCCCAAGGATATCAGGTACTGTTCCTATACCTAATTCTCAATATCAAATGCCTCTCTGTCCTGTAGCTTCTTTCCTTAATTCCTGTTAGCATGGATGCTGATTCCCTCCTGTCCCCAATCCGGCTGAGTTAATCCAGAGTCTCATCTCAGGTTTGAGTTCCGACAGTGGCAGGATTTTTGACACTAGCTACGTAGCTAGGTTGAATTCAGCTGCTTGCTCGAGGAGAATCCTAGCGGCAGCTCCTCTGATCAGTAGTTTTTCATGGTTTCTCTGGTAAATGTCAGGTTAATGCCGGAGCAATTCTCTAGTAAGCAGATCGTGGACCACTTACAATCATACCTTCCTCTTCCTTGCCCTATCCTCACCTAACCAGACTGTAAATTATGCACTCCACTTACAGGATAATTGACCTTGGCATTTAATACCCAGAAACTCTAATTAATAAATCTAATATTTTTTTGAGGTTCCCCATAAGACATCTTGAGTTCTGTTGATTTGATTTGGGGAAAATGATGGACACTTGGCAGATGAGAATGAGATACACTGTGAAAAGGCCACAGTGACTGGATAGACGAAGCGTTTTGTGGGATTCAAAATTGTGCCCTTCGTATATAAGTTGCCGCCTGTACAGTCTATGACTTTTATAATAGGATAGCTGGATTTGTTTACATTGTTGAGTTGTGTGTGTGTTCCATTGGTATCATGAGGTTTCATGCCAATTGCTGCATAGGGAGAGGTTTTGAATTGGTAATACTAAAATGCTAGTGGCCTAACATTGTGGTGTACTATGAAATCAAGAACATCGATCATACTCATTCAGTGACTGCTGGACCTACTGATAAATCTCATTTCAGAGACCAATGTCTCCAGAAAAAGAGACCCAAACAGACTTTGCTCAAGGGCAAGACTTACTTAGACCATCAGACAATCAAAATAAAAAAAAATGTTCTGAAGCCTTTTGTTTCATATTACTCCTATTCAATTGCCCTTTTTTATTTAACATGTTTTTATAGATTTTAGCATATTTGTTAATACTAAATAGTATATTCAATATTTATTTTAGTTGATGTTAGTGAAAATTATGAAGCCATTGAGAAGGCTCTGGATGCTGCCGAAGAAGATTTGGGACCTGTGTATATGCTTGTGAATTGTGCTGGTATGGCTATCTGTGGTAAACTTGAAGACACTAACATTTCTGACATTAAGGTATTTGAATTAATTACATTAGCTTATACATTTTTAAATTCTAAGTTATAAAGATGGTCTTTGTATTTAAGTACCCAAAGTTAAATACATCAAAGATAACAATAAAGGAACATAGTAAGATATGATTCTTGTGTAGGAATCTTCAGCTCTTTATGTAACAACTATCAGTGTGCTTTACACTGCATATTGTGTGAATATTATAAGACTTTACATATAATGCTTTATAACATACATGTAATATGTAGTAAAAGATTGTGCAATATATTTGTGTGTGTGTTGGAGTCTATATATAAAATCATTCAACATTGTACATACTTCATTCAGGCATTAATCTGTTAGAATTGTTTGTTAGATGTTCTTTTGATCATTATAACATTTTGATTATTTGATTCCTATGATGGAGGGACCAATTTCCTTCCTGTTAATAATTTACTTGACATGAAAACATTGTGGGATTCAGTTTGTAAACAAATGGAATTATATGTTTCTAAAGGTGAAAATTTGTGCAACATTGCAAAGAAAGTGACAGCATTAATATCTTTGTTGACAGTATCTTATGAATCTGAACTATTTTGGCTCCCTGTACCCTACAAAAGTATTGGTTCCACGGATGAAATGTCGTGGAGAAGGCATAATTGTGATGGTATCCTCTCAAGCTGGATTATTGGGTATTTATGGTCTTAGTGCTTACAGTGCTACAAAGTTTGCGTTGCGTGGCTTAGCTGAAGCACTTCACATGGAGGTAGGTAATCTCATTTTGTGAACACTAATATAGTCATCGGTCTCACTTTTCGTTAAAAAGTGCCAAATTGTTCTGAATTTTTGAAAGACTGGTGAATTGTGACGTCTGACGAGTGTTTTATTAACAGTGTGCTAATCTATTTTTTATCACCTTAATTATTTCCTTTTTCTTTTGGATGTCAATCTTCCCAACAATACTAAAATGTTAGGGATGTGTTATTCAAAAATTTCTTTTTGAATTTTTATATAATGATTTAATGTGTTGTTAAAAAGCAATGTGAATCTCAACATTCTCTGCTGACATTATGTAAATATTATTTAAATTGTTTATTATAATATTAAAATTATCAATGAATTATTTAAATTGGTTAACAATTTCCTTTAATGTGATCAAATTTTTATTACTGATGAAGTATTTGGCAACCTTTTTCACCACTTTTCTTTTTCTTTTTCTTTTTCTTTTTTTTTTTTTACCTTTTGCAGTGCAAACCTTACAATGTATCAGTAACCCTTGCATTGCCACCTGACACTGATACGCCTGGACTTGCCAATGAAGAGAAGACCAAACCATTGGAGACGAGATTGATTAGTGAATCTGCTGGACTTATTCAACCTGAAGTGGTGGCAAAACGTTTAGTAGTGGATGCTCTTGTGAGTGGTTTTAATACTTTTTCCATTGTTTATTTACCAGTTACTGTTTTATGGGCTTGAATTTTTTGAGTACAAATTATTTCTTCATTGATTTTCTTAAATGTGGAAACAATAGCATGTTTATTTGAGAGTGATGTTGTGAATATTCATTTTCATAATCTAAGTCAGGGGTCAGCAAATGTGACACATACAGTGATGTTACAAGAAACCTGACCAATTCCCTTTTGTTGAGGTGGGAACAAATGGGATGGCTGCATAATTTTGCTAGAACTTTCTAATATGGTTTTCCCTAGTCATTCTGTTAACATGTAATGTGTATAGTGTTGAAAATCCAGATGAGAAGCATATTACAAAAGGCTAAATTTCTCATTCACAAAACAAAACAAGAAAGGAAGGTTGCTCTAGGCCACTTATAACAACGCCTTCAAATGTGCATCTGTTAAGTATAATCTTTTGCAAGCTTTCAGAAATTTAAGTTAACTAGTGTTTCTACAAAAAGCACATTGGTGCTTTCTTGCATTATTTTTAACTGCTCCGCTATATTAAACTACTACATAAACCTGCAAAAGCTTTTTAACTAGCAAACCTTTTTTTCTGCTTCGAGATCCGAACTCAGATCCTCAGAGTTAACTTGCCGATACTCATTCCACTATGCCACAGAAGCGCCATAAGGGTCGACCTAGGGTACAGGGATAAAAACGTAAATGCCTGCTTTATGTAAAAAGAACCTCAAAAATCAAAATACCTGTTTGAAACTCTCAAAGGCTCCAGTTTGTGAAGATTGATCAATTTTGGAGAAAATCTGCTGAATATTTTAGGCACTGGAGGTGGACAGTCAGTCAGATGGCTGTTTTGACGTCAATACATTTTTCGATATAAAGGACCTACA